ACGGTCTGAGTGGCGGACAGGGAGTGCTTTGGGTTTTAAGGCTTCGGGACTTAAGTTTAGGCAGTTGGGGGTGAGCGAAGATGGCAACGCGACATATGTTTAAATCGAGTCGCTCAAAGCGCTCCGTATTCTTCTGGCCAGCCGAAGCTGTGGGTCTGAAGAAGCCTGAAGGATTATTGCCATAAGTTTTATCCTGGTTTGATTCACTCTGTCACACTTGCTGAGATATATTCCCAGGCGGTATATGAATAGCGCAATAAAGTAGCGGTGGCCCTAAACCCCCAAGCTGTCTGTCATCCTGTTCCACCAAACTCTGACCAAGCCCGGCCCATGCTTGCCTCGTTTTTTTGCTCGGGGTTCTCTTTCCCATGGAGTCGAGGAGGCCTTTTAAATACTGCTGCTGCTGTGGTATCTTCACCCGTGTCGTACAAGGCAATCAGAGGTCATCCTCTGCCAGCTTGGGCAGTAAAAGGATCGCAGTGCAATTCAAGGTTACCGATGATCTGCGACCTTGCGTACCCGATCTTAGGCCCAGGAACCCCTACAGCCCAAGTCTTTGATCAAGAGGCTCTACCTAAGCAGAAAATCTGGGGCAGTTGGAAGTTGGAGTGTGAGGTTGGGGTTTCAGGACTCGGATAGATGCTGCTTGTGCGATGCCGTGTGAGTCAAGGGCGTTCCCAAAGCCCAGACAAGCACTGAGTTTTCTACTTACATGAATCGCAGGCTGCAACACAAGCCTGGCCCCGAACCGTAGATCCAGACCCTGCGAACAAGCCCTTTAAGCCTCAATGGCACCAGTCTCCACGAGACTATACTTGCTCAAACAGCCTTTGACACTGATATGTTAACGGTTGTTTTGTGTTTGGCTGTTGCATTGGTTGAATTCTGGTTGCTGTGGTGACGCTGCTAACCGGGAGGAGGAGCAGATGTGAGGTGGCGGTATCGATACCGACGACCATGACGATCGGAAGGACGGTGGCGACAATGACGATGTTGTTGTTGATTATGATGACGGCGATGATGATGAAAGTGAAGGTGGTCATGAAGATGGCGATGAACATGGTGGTGATGCTGGTGGTGGTGATGATGATGGTCATTATGATGGTGATCGTGACGGTGACGGTGATGACGATGATGATGGTGGTGCTGGCGGCGGTGGTTCTGGTAGTAGCGATTACCAAGACAATGACGGTGATATGTGGCCTCGAGCCTTGATGGAAACCGGAGCCTGTGAGTAAAGTCTCATGCAGTCTGAGTCTGACACGCTACTCCGCTACTCTTCATTGCCTTGACAGTATCGGCATGAAGCCCCCAGGACTTGTTGGGCCCAGCAACCAAAAGCCCCCAAGGCTGCTGATTGAGCCCACAGTCCTACAAGCCAACATTGGTCCAGCTTATCTCATGATCCCCACCAGGCCGTACCGAAGAAGAAGGCAGCTTCCAAGAAGAAGGCATGGTTTTGCACATACTCTGAGATAAAGTTGGGGCTTGTGTCGGCAACAAGATGAAGTTGCAGGCACTTGTTTGGGGCTTGGTTTTGGAAGCATGTGTTCTCAGACCCGAAGACGAACAGTCAGCTGAAGGCTCGAGGCTTCGCAGCATTGAAATCAGAGAAGCCCCGTGCAATCAAATCTATGTAGGTGCAGATGCACGCCCCAAGCACCTCAAGCTGTGTCCATCGAGACCTGAAGTGCGCCTACCGAGATGCACTGCTCCATCACCAACACCGGCTTAACAGCTAGGATCGGAAACGACACTTGGCGTGTCAGAATGCGGTGCCGTTGCCTTTCCAGCACATGGAGGCAGCTGGCTGGGAGAACACGCTCCAGATGTGGCGTTGGGGTTGGCGGGCGTTCCATTTTGTAGGTGTTTTCCTGCTCCATTACCAATGCCCATCGAGTCCTGGACATCTGGGTGGGTTTAACGGCTCGGTGCAGAGACGAAACTTGGCGTGTCAGTATGCGGTGCCGTTGCCTTTCCAGCACATGGAGGCAGCTGGCTGGGAGAACACGCTCCAGATGTGGCGTTGGGGTTGGGGGGCGTTCCATTTTGTAGGTGTTTTCCTGCTCCATTACCAATACTCATCGAGCCCTGGACATCTGGATGGGTTTAACGGCTCGGAGCAGAGACGAAACTTGGCGTGTCAGAATGCGGTGCCGTTGCCTTTCCAGCACATGGAGGCAGTTGGCTGGGAGAACACGTAGCAGAGGTGGCGTTGGGGATGGGGGTTACATACATTTTGTAGGTGGTTTTCTGCTCCATTACCAATACCCATCGAGTCCTGGACATCTGGATGGGTTTAACGGCTCGGAGCAGAGACGAAACTTGGCGTGTCAGAATGCGGTGCCGTTGCCTTTCCAGCACATGGAGGCAGCTGGCTGGGAGAACCCGTAGAAGAGGTGGCGTTGGGGCTGGGGTTACATACATTTTGTAGGTGGTTTTCTGCTCCATTACCAATACCCATCGAGCCCTGGACATCTGGATGGGTTTAACGGCTCGGAGCAGAGACGGAGCTTACCGTGTCAGAATGCGGTGCCGTTGCCTTTCCAGTACATGGAGGCAGTTGGCTGGGAGAACACGTAGCAGAGGTGGCGTTGGGGATGGGGGTTACATACATTTTGTAGGTGGTTTTCTGCTCCATTACCAATACCCATCGAGTCCTGGACATCTGGATGGGTTTAACGGCTCGGTGCAGAGACGAAACTTGGCGTGTCAGTATGCGGTGCCGTTGCCTTTACAGCACATGGAGGCAGCTGGCTGGGAGAACACGCTCCAGATGTGGCGTTGGGGTTGGGGGGCGTTCCATTTTGTAGGTGTTTTCCTGCTCCATTACCAATACCCATCGAGCCCTGGACATCTGGATGGGTTTAACGGCTCGGAGCAGAGACGAAACTTGGCGTGTCAGAATGCGGTGCCGTTGCCTTTCCAGCACATGGAGGCAGCTGGCTGGGAGAACACCCTCCAGATGTGGCGTTGGGGTTGGGGGGGCGTTCCATTTTGTAGGTGTTTTCCTGCTCCATTACCAATACCCATCGAGCCCTGGACATCTGGATGGGTTTAACGGCTCGGAGCAGCGACGAAACTTGGCGTGTCAGAATGCGGTGCCGTTGCCTTTCCAGCACATGGAGGCAGCTGGCTGGGAGAACACGCTCCAGATGTGGTGGATGGGTTTAACGGCTCGGAGCAGAGACGAACCTTGACGGGTCAGAATGCGGTGCCGTTACCTCAAACAGACGCAGTTGGCTGGGAGAACACGCTCCAGATGTGGCATTAGGGGGTGTGGGGGGTGTGATTACGTCTGCTCCATTACCAATACCCATCGAGCCCTGGACATCTGGATGGGTTTAACGGCTCGGAGCAGAGACGGAGCTTACCGTGTCAGAATGCGGTGCCGTTGCCTTTCCAGCACATGGAGGCAGCTGGCCAGGAGAACACGCTCCAGATGTGGCGTTAGGGGAGGTTACCTTTTGTAGGTGGTTTTCTGCTCCATTACCAATACCCATCGAGCTCTGGACATCTGGATGGGTTTAACGGCTCGGAGCACAGACGGAGCTTACCGTGTCAGAATGCGGTGCCGTTGCGTTTCCAGCACATGGAGGCAGCTGGCTGAGAGAACACGCTTCAGATGTGGCGTTGGGGTTGGGGGGCGTTCCATTTTGTAGGTGTTTTCCTGCTCCATTACCAATACCCATCGAGCCCTGGACATCTGGATGGGTTTAACGGCTCGGAGCAGAGACGAACCTTGACGTGTCAGAATGCGGTGCCGCTGCCTTTCCAGCACATGGAGGCAGCTGGCCAGGAGAACACGCTCCAGATGTGGCGTTAGGGGAGGTTACCTTTTGTAGGTGGTTTTCCGCTCCATTACCAATACCCATCGAGCCCTGGACATCTGGATGGGTTTAACGGCTCGGAGCAGAGACGAAACTTGGCGTGTCAGAATGCGGTGCCGTTGCCTTTCCAGCACATGGAGGCAGCTGGCTGGGAGAACACGCTCCAGATGTGGCGTTGGGGTTGGGGGGGCGTTCCATTTTGTAGGTGTTTTCCTGCTCCATTCCAATACCCATCGAGCCCTGGACATCTGGATGGTTTTAACGGCTCGGAGCAGCGACGAAACTTGGCGTGTCAGAATGCGGTGCCGTTGCCTTTCCAGCACATGGAGGCAGCTGGCTGGGAGAACACGCTCAGATGTGGTGGATGGGTTTAACGGCTCGGAGCAGAGACGAACCTTGACGTGTCAGAATGCGGTGCCGTTACCTCAAACAGACGCAGTTGGCTGGGAGAACACGCTCCAGATGTGGCATTAGGGGATGTGGGTGGTGTTGTTACGCCTGCTCCGTTACCAATACCCATCGAGCCCTGGACATCTGGATGGGTTTAACGGCTCGGAGCAGAGACGAACCTTGACGTGTCAAAATGCGGTGCCGCTGCCTTTGCAGCACATGGAGGCAGTTGGCTGGGAGAACGCGCTCCAGATGTGGCTTTAGGGAGGAGTCGGATACCCATCGAGCTCTTGCTTGACATCCGGACGGTGTAGAAGCTCGACTGGAGAAACCACTTGGCGTGATGCGTCAGAAAACAGCTTCGATGTTTCACCACACTAAAACCTTAAGTGTTCAGGGCTTCGTAAGTTGGGTTCAAGAAGTTGTCTCGCAGATCATAGTGTTTGGCAGCAGCGAATCTCTGGCAAACTTGCAGTCTCATGCTGCAGCCATGAAATTCAAGTCCTGCGAAGAGAACTTAGAGTTTCATGCTGCAGCCATGGGTTCAAGTCCGGCGAAGAGAATCAGAAAGGATACACTTGGTATTCCACATGCCCGAGAATTAATTAGCAAGTGCAGAAAAAACCAGCACACTTTCAGATCGTCTTTGTTTGCTAGGCCGTCCTGCATTATAACTTCTTCCAGCTTCCAGCTTTTTGTGTGCTCACATAGCCCTGTTTCTTTTGAAACAGAGGCGGAAGGCTGTTCCACACCTCCGCCACAACATTTTTCAACTACAACATGGTTGCGCCTATGCTCTCACTCCTACTGCGAGCAGTGGGACCTGAGGTGCCGTCTCGGTTTGGGGCGTGCCGTGTCAAGAGCAGCCCTGAGAAATGCCGTAGTCGCACTTGAAAGCACAACTTTGGGACAAACTTACGTAGACCAAAACACGAAAAGCAGCAATAGCAGTGGTATATAGCAGTCGCAGTCGCAGTTGCAGTAGCAGCAGGAGTAGTAGTAGTAGTAGTAGTAGTAGTAGTAGTAGTAGTAGTAGTAGCAGCAGCAGCAGGAGTAGTAGTAGTAGTAGTAGTAGTAGTAGTAGTAGTAGTAGTAGTAGTAGTAGTTAGTAGTTAGTAGTTAGTAGTTAGTAGTTAGTAGTTAGTAGTTAGTAGTTAGTAGTTAGTAGTAGCAGCAGCAGCAGCAGCAGTAGTAGTAGTAGTAGTAGTAGTAGTAGTAGTAGTAGTTGTTGTAGTAGCAGTAGTAGTAGTAGTAGTAGTAGTAGTAGTAGCAGTAGCAGTAGTAGCAGCAGTAGTAGTAGTAGCAGTAGTAGTAGTAGTAGTAGCAGCAGCAGCAGTAGTAGTAGTGGTAGCAGTAGTGGCAGTAGCAGTGGTGGCATTAGCAGTAGCAGCAGTAGTAGCAGGAGCAGTGGCAGGAGCAGTAGTAGCAGTAGCAAGAGCCGTAGTAGCAGTGGCAGTAGCAGTAAAAGTAATCGTACTGTAATTGTATATCAGCACTAGCAGTAGTAATCGCAGCTACGCGAAATAAGTGCAAGGGTGTGAGTAGTCTCAATGGTCATATCAGTAATGCATTTGTGTATATATATATATATACAGATACACATACATGCATGTATGTATACATATATGTATATGCACATACATACACATATACACATAAATACGTACATGCATGCATACATACATACATGCACACCTACATACATACATACGTACATACTTGCATGCATATATGTGTACATGTATCGATCTGTACCTATATCTATATCTATATAGGTATACACATATGCAGCGCTCGTGTGGGTGTGTGTGTGCTGCATAAATACCCAGAGGCGTAGGTACGTGTGATGTGCCTACTCCGATTTGACTCGCACCCGAATCGAACACGAACACCGCAGCCATTTCGGCCATGAGATTCGTGTCAGGCGTGGAAGCACCTTACTTTCCCCGGGACTTGGATTGTTGCGTTTTTCCCGGACCCGTGAGCAGTCAACGTACCCAGCTTTCACCACCGGCTGAGATGGTCAGCGAACACTCCGTGTGTAAACATGTTTCGGAAGCTCGGCAGATCGCCCCGGGCACCCCTCTGAGTTCGGTCTCTACAACCTCTGGCGCAGAATGGCGAGCTCATGGTTTGTATGCATGGCACCAGTATGCCTTTGGTTGGCCTTGCTTGGGGTGGACGGAGCGCTGTCCCTGGCCTAAAGTGAGTTGGTGTTTCACGGTTTATGAGGAGTCAAGGCTAGGCGGCTAGGTCATTGTTCAAAGTCGCGAGCTCCAATAACGTGATAACATGCTTAGATGGCCTTCATCGTGAGTTCAGGGCGCGGTGTTCGTATCAAGCATGACCCACATTTTTGCTCTTCGCACGGAGGAACGACGAAGTATTCAGGATGCCGGTTGGCGACTAACTCGCCATTAAGGCTTTGAGCTCATCAGTTTCCGACCCGTTCTGGTATCGAGCTTCAGTCACCCAGGACGGTGGGGCCACGTCGTGCCGACGATCTCTTGCGAAAGCTGCGCGCCTCGATCTTCGTTGAGACCTCATTTCTGGAGGCCTCTTGTCTGAATCGGCTTATTGATTCTCTGGGTGTTTGAGGCGGGAAAGGGCTCCAGGTCAACACAATTCACAAGGCTTCAGGACTGGTAGTGCTGCTAAGCCACTGATGAAGATCTTTCGCAGGACCGTGAGCTGTGAGATTCCAGGAACAGACTCTAGGGAATGATGACTGCCGTTTGCCGTTTACCGGTGCTACTCATACTGGGTGACTGCTTTGTGCGGCTTTGATCCCAAAGCCGCCCCGAACCTGCCGAAGTGATAAATTATTAGACTCCATGCCTAGTCACCTGCCTTCCCCCAAAGCTGCACCTTCGATTTGATATTGTAGTGAGTACTCAAGCCAACACATACTCCTTAAGCTCTTTCAGACATAGATGCTTTGACTGCTACTCCCACTCCTACTCTTACTACTCCTGCTCCTACTTCTCCTGCTCCTCCTCCTCCCCCTAGGCCTACAACAACTATTTCTACTGCTACGAGTACCAGTGCGAGTACGACGACGACCACGATGACTGCTGCTACTACTACTACTACTACTACTACTACTACTACTGCTACTGCTACTGCTACTGCTACTGCTACTGCCACTACTTATCACAAGTACTACCACTGTTGCTCCTGCGACCACTGCTGCTTCCTACGGGCCGGCAGGAGCGGCCGGCAGAGGCGAAGTGCTCCTCACTAGATGGGCCCCAGTGCTTCTTTGCAGTGGACGGCGCCTTTCATCGCAGGATTGGAGCTGGCGGAGCATTTCGGGCTACGTTCGTTAGGAGTTTCAGTGTGAGGGTTCTAAAGGGCGGGTGCGCTGTCCTCGTCTTTTTGGTGATCGGGGGTTGGGTTTGTATGAGTGTCTGACAGTTCGGAGGCTTGCTGGACTTTATTTTGTTTTGATGCCTGGGTCTGTAACTAGCGGCTTGCTTACCTGTGGGCGTCGGTTTCGGGGCTGCGGTCCGGGGTGGCTGCTTTGCGAAGTTGGAGGTTGGGACTCCAAATCCGCTCAACCCAAGCCGATTGAAGCCTATACTAAGAGAAGATCCGAATGCCATAAAGCTGCAGGGCCCTTGGGCTTTGCAGGTTCATATTCAGAGATCTAGGAGCCAGAAAGACAGAAAACGGCGCCTCGAGGAAGGAGACTACAAGCCTAATGCAATCCTCGTTGTGTTGACTGAATTCGACCTTACCGACCTGAACCTTCAATCGTTCAAGTGCACAACGAAAGACCTGGAAAAGCTCGCAAGAACGTCCTTCCAACACACATTGGGCCGTGAACAAAAGCAGTTCTGCCATGAAAAGCAAAGTGCCACCCAGGTGCAGGGCTATCATTGGATGGACCCGGAGTGATCCCAGCTTCCTGGCAAAAAAGAATGCGAAAAGGTGTGTAGTGTTCATGATTTGTAGATGGGGGTTTGTAATCGCCAGGAAGCTGCATGTTGTTCTTGAAAGCTCGAGCAGGCTCTCTCGCATGCCATGGTCCTGCAGAGGTTCTGTGAACGGCCAGTAAGAAGAACTTGTTTGCCGGGTGAAGTGCCTCATGAAGAGCCAAAACAAGTTGCGATGACCAGAGGGTCTCATACTCATGCTGGCGACATGTTGCAGGGCCAACCCCGGTAGGTAGTCAAGCCAAGACTAGCGAATCAGAAAAGTCCACAGCGCGTCGTCGCAAAGCCCGAACTCGCAAACGCTGCAGAATCGTAGTACTTCTCGTCCCATCATTGTTATAAGGTCCGGCGATCCTGGGGATTCGGATACAGAGATGTCGAGTCCTCTTTGCACACCTGATATCGAGAGATGTAAACTTCACGTGTTGCCAAAGATGCCATAAATCCGAAACCCACCAGACAAGGAAAGACTGCTGCACGATCTTGGAGTCGACGGACCGGGTGTTGACTTCATGACACCCGAGCACCAAGGAGGCAGCAATGTCATCGTGGATCTACTGCAGTGTTTTGTGTGCTGTGTTAGACTGCTGGACTGCTCCTCCAATTGAACGCTAAACCTGCCACTGAGAAGGCCCTGAGCCCCGGATTGTAAGGGCACATACATAACCCGACCGACACCGCTCCGGGACGTGCTATTGTAAGGTACATGATCCTGGAAGCGCACGTGCGTCAAGGATCTCTTGTGCCACTTGGCTGCTCAGGGCTCAAGCACTGCACTGAGATTAAGTCTTAGTGCTTCTGTCGCATGTGCAGGGTCGTGACTTCGGGTCTAACCGTAAACGCAGAATGAGATTTGACAGTTCCGCACAGTGTTCCGGCAACTTAAAACTGAGAAAAGCCTCCAACAGGAAAATACGTTGAGAGAGCAGACTTCCGTCTAGGGTTCCGGAACGAAGCCTCGAATCTGGAAAAAAAATGTGTTTGAATTTGGGCGGCTTGAGGTTTGTGGTGTTGGGATGTGTCGGGTTGTCGTGTCTCAGGCAGGAGCTGTCCCACGAGCCTGCGCTCCTTGCCGGTGCATCAGCGCGAGACTTCCTGGCGCACGGCCGCAATGCAACAGAAACAGGAGTCTGATCGCTGGATGACGCTGCTGTAGCCTAAGTATATGCTAGTATGTATCTGCATATGTTATGTGCATGTATATGCATGTGCTGCATATGTACATGCATATGTCTGCATGTACATATGTATGATTATGTGTATATGTATGTGCACATGCGTCTGTGTTTTTGTTTGCTTGCTTGTGTGTGTGTGTGTTGCTTGCTTGTGTGTTCGTGTCTTCGGGTATGTTTTTTGGTTTCTGGTGTGTATGCAGGCAATGTATGCGGCTCATGGGGACGGTATGGCACAGCACGCTGTTGAATGGTATTGCGTGTGTGCATCTGTGTATGTATCTGTCTATGTAATGTATGCATGCATGCATGCATGGAAGAGTTATTGAATGTGCGTACGTACGAAAGCGCATCTGTCTGTGGTCTAAGAATATCATGCTATGTTATGTCAGGTTATGCTATACTATGCTGCGCAAGTCCCAGATATCTCGGGCTCCAAGTCTGCCTGCAACTTTGGAAGCCCCCAGCTTTAAACAGCAAGCTCTTGAACCTTCACGTAGCCGCTACACCTTATAAACTGCATGGACTCTAAACGTAAACCCCCCAACAAAAAAGTGCGGTAAGCGGTCTCCTCGGTAGAACACAACTGCCTCGTCCGTGCGGAGGACTGCTCCACTTCACCGGGGCACAGCTCGATCATCGGCTGACACTCGACTGTCCTTTTGAAAGTCGTTTTGGGATTCAGGTTACCTAAGAAACCCCACACCCTGACCCTGTA